GTTTTGTATAGTTGGGGGCATTCGTATTTGGTGCATATATATTTAGGATTGTCACCTCTTCCTCTTGGATTGTTCCCTTCACAAGGATGTAGTGACCATCTTGGTCTCTCTTAATTAGTTTTGGTTTGAAATCTGCTTTGTCTGTAATAGATATGAAGAGTTACCTTAGACCTAAGGATTAAATTCTGTCTTCCTGTGAAACACTGCCATTGTAACAGATGGTACAGTCTTAAAGTCAGTGTGATAGAATGTATAATGAAAGTTATTCACTCTACTTAGTAGTTCCACTTCAAGGAAACTACCCTTATTAAATATTACAAAATGGAGCAAAAGGCAAATGTTACAAAAAGTATTTGAGCAGAGCATTATATAAATTATAATTACCATTATGTAATATGTATCATTATTTAGCTTGGAGAAAGCTTAAATAAATTAGGCCTGGTTGTCATGCAGTCATTCAAGTATTTAGGAAGAAATTTATGATGTTAGGAAAATGCTTATGTTTATATTATAATATCAGATAAAACAAGGATTAAAATATTGTATATGTAGTGAGATTTCAACTGTATTTAAAAACTGAGAAGACAAAATGTAATGCTGCTTGTTCATCAGCACCCTGTAATTTCTTATAATGTATAGTAGTACATTGAGAAGGCTTAAGAAATACTAGTTTCTGGAGTTAAATAGCCACTGGGATCAAGTATCCTGAGTTGATTTTTTTTTTTATTAGATTGACTTTCACAGCCCTGATTAACTAAATGTTAAACTTTTAAAGTTAGCTACATACCAGTTTTTTCATTTGAAAAATGGATCTAGCCTACATGTCCTTGATGTCCTATTACTTGTAGCACCTAAGTACAGAAAACTTTTCATTTAATAGTTATACTTGTGGAAACAGCGCATATTGGTGGCTAAAGTAACAATTGATTTTTCAGGTCTTCAAGCCAATCATTGAAAAATTTGGTTTCAAATTTAATTGTGACATTAAAATGAGGTAAGTTACTTCTTGTCCTTTTGATCCATTACTTGGGCTCTTATATACTTAATATATTGCACTTTACATTTCTTGTAGGAAATAATTGTGTTTTGATGCTTAAAAACAATAAGCTTTAGGGATGTGAAGCCTTAAAAGCAGCTACATGTGATATTCATTTGTTTCTTGGGAGAAATATTTTCAAGGGAATTTCAACACGGAGGCAGGTTCACATCTAGTTTTATTATGCAGCTGCACACATCAAATGATTCACTGTGTGCAGACACTGGATTAGGTACTATGGAGTTGTAAGAGATTCTCTTCCATGTGTCATCAAAATTATTTTCTTAAGAAACATATCATTGAGGTAATTTCTCTTTAAAGTTTTCCTTTTGTAATACAGTAACAAGGTTAAATTTCTTGGCATGGCATTTCAGTGCTTTGCAGTCTTGCCCCAGTTTACCTTCCTAGCTTCATCTTCCTTCCCCTCATTTCAGTTTGATGTATAGTCTAACTACATGGTTGCTTGCTGCTCTTTAAACATACTTTGTGCCTTGCACTTCACATCTTCTTTGTACATGTTATTCTCCCCTGCTCTCCTCAGTATTGGAAATGTTTTTTGGGGGTTTTTTTTGGTACCGGGGATCGAACTCGGGTCCTTGCGCTTGCACAGCAGGTGATGAAACCACTGAGCTAAATCCCTGGCCCGGAAATGTTATTTTTTAAAAATAAAAATCACAGTTTCTTGTGTCAACTGCCCATAAATGTGCTTTAGTTGGAATTCATATTTGCACTTCTGTTGTATCCCCCCTTACTTGTATTCTAGTAGACTGTGTGGGATCATCTCTCTGCCAGATGGAGAATTCCTTCAGGGTAGAAGCACTCTCATTTTCAGCATCTGTGATAGAATAAATAACACTAAATATTTGAGTTAAAATGTTATTAGTGTTGAGTTACTTAAATATTTTCATCAGATAATTATTTGAGCTCCAACCATTGCCAAACCTTGTCTTAGGCCTGGGAAAATGGCAGAAAGAAATAAATCCAGGTATAAAGAGGTTATATGTACTTTAAAACAGCACTGTCAAGTGGAACTTTCTACCTTGAGGAAAATGGTTTCTGTCTCTCCTGTCCAATGGGATAGTCATTAGCCAAATGTGACTACTAAGCACTTGAAATATGGCTCATATAACCAGTGAATTGGTTTCTAAATTTTACTTATTTGTTTTTTATTCAAAAAAATTAGTGGGGATTTTTATTTTACTTAGTTTGAGGAGGCAGAGTCTTGCTGTGTGGCTCAGGCTGACCTTCCATTTCTGGGCTCAAGGAATTCTCTTGCCTCAGCCACTCGAATAGTTGGGAGCTACAGGAAGTGCCATCACATTTGTCTTGGTGCTGGAGATTGAATTTAGGGCTTTGCATATGCCAAGGATCCACTCACTCTATCATTGAGCTGCACCTCCAGCCATAAACTGTACTTAATTTAATAGTCACAGGTAGCTTGAGGCCACCATATTGGATAGCCCAGACCGAAAATATTATTTAGGTGATGGACTTTTTTTTGGTACCAGGGATTGAACTCAGGACCTTGTGCTTGTGAGGCAGGTGCAGCACCACTGAGCTAAATCCCCAGCCCTAAAATATTATTTAGAACTTCTGTAAATTTCCTGTCTCAATATTAATCACATTATTTTAATATAATATTAAGCTTCATTTTTGTTGTGCAGTTGGTTTATGAGGGTATTTGTTATGCTTTTTATAGGGGCTATTACCCAAAAGGGGGTGGTGAAGTAATCGTTCAGATGTCACCAGTTAAACAGTTGAACCCAATAAATTTAACTGATCGTGGCTCTGTGACTAAGATATATGGAAGAGCTTTTGTTGCTGGTGTTTTGCCATTTAAAGTAAGTTGTCTAAATGTTCTTAGTAGTGTGTGCTTGTCTTGATAAGTATTATGTCATCTAAAATTTGAAATTAATGAAAAAGCCTATCTTTTAATTCATCTTTTCATTAAGATTTTAAAAATATTTAGTAGCCTCTGTTCTTGAAAATAAAATTTTTAAACAGTTCATATAAAAGTTAATTATTTGCTATGTCTTTTAAGTTTGAAAACAGTTATCCAGATAATAACTGTATTGTTCTCTATTGTTTATTGCCAAAACAGGTAGCAAAAGATATGGTGGCAGCAGCTGTACGATGCATCAGAAAGGAGATCAGGGACCTATATGTGAGCATTCAGCCTGTTCAGGAACCCAAGGACCAAGCATTTGGCAATGGAAATGGAATAATGTGAGAAAAATGTACATTTTTTAGACATTGGATTAGATCCCTGATATTATTAGTCAGTTTTCTGTCTCTGTGGCAAAATACTTTTAAGATAAACAATTTAAAAGGAGAAAAGATTTATTTTAGCTCAGAGTTTCAGAGATTTAGGAATTGGTTTTCTTCTTTGTTGGGCTAGTATTGAAGGAAAGAGCATTTGGTGGACACAGTTGCTCATTTTAATGGTGACAAGGAGGCAAAGAGAGAAAGTGGCCAGGGTTCCAGTCTTCCCTCAAGGGCACCCCCTCCAGTAGCCTCACTTCACCCCACCTTAGCCCACCTACTTCAACACATGGGCCTTTGGAGGATGTTTATAAGTCAAACCATAATAATGATTCTATTTAAAAGTTTTTTGCTAAATTTATAGTTTTAAGAAGATATATATAGATATATATATATATATGTTTTGGTTTTTTTTTGTACCAGGGATTGAACTCGGGACCTTGTGCTTTTGAGGCAGGTGGCAGAACCACTGAGCTAAATCCCCAGCCCAAGAAGGTATATTTTTGTGCTGGGGATTTAGCTCAGTGGTACCACCACCTACCTCGCAAGTGCAAGGTCCTGAGTTTGATCCCCGGTACCAAAAAAAAAAAAAAAAAGAAGGTATATTTTTAAAGGGTATTCCTATATAAATAACAGTATGATGAATTAAGATGATTATTTCTGATTTTCTTTTCTGGGGATTGTTTGCCTTTTATTATTTTGTAAGGTTCTTTTTGTTTATATAGTCATCCCTGCATATTCATGAGTTTGGCATTTTTGGATTCAAACAAATACAGACCAAAAACACTGAAAAAAAGTGCTGGGGATTTAGCTCAGTGGTGCTGCTGCCTGCCTCGAAATCATAAGGTCCTGGGTTCGACCCTTGGCATCAAAAAACTGAAAAAAAGAAGTTATTTCTGTATTAAACATGTACAGGCTTTTTTTTCCTTGTCATTTCCTAAATAATATGGTATAACAGGTATTTACATATCCTGTAGGTTGTATTAGATATTGTAACTAATGTAAGGATGTTTTAAACTATATAAGAGGATGTATATAGTTTATATATATAAACTATGCCATTTTATGTAAGGGACTTGAACATGCTTGGATTTTGGTATCCACATAGGGGTCTTAGAACCAATTCCCCTGAGTAATCAGGGATAACCATAGTGAAGTTTGGTTTTTTTTTTGAGACAGGATTTCACTATGTAGCCCAGGCTGCCCTTGAAGTCACTGTGTAGCACAAGTGGCCTCAAACTTGCAGTGATCCTCCTGCTTTAGCTTCTTGAGTGCTGGGATTACAGGCGTGTGCCATCATGCCCAATTTACAGTGAAGTTTTTAAGCTAATCAGAAGTTAGACTTTGAAGGTGGTCCTCAAAGAAGTATTTCCAATTGCTTAAAATACCTCACATGTGAAATTAATTCACAAATAAATAATATGGTAAAGGTCTCTTTAAAAAAGAAATAGAACTATTCTACCAACCCAATTAGGATTATAAAAATTTATAAAAATTTAATTAATTTATTATAAAAATTTATAAAAAATTTATTTATTATAAAAATTTCTTACATTTTTAAAAGTCTAAAAGTACCATGTTGTTTGTGGATATTCAAATTTCAAACCTTAGATATTTCAATAAAAGGTTTAAACTAAACTAAATCCTTGTACTAATTTTGATAAAACCACATAAAAACTAGAACAAAACCGAAGTCTCTGCAAAAGAGCTTTTTATATAAGATAATCATAAGACAATTTATAGTACCGTATGTCTATGAAATGGTACCACTTAGTGTGATGACCTAGTAACTTGGGGTGGAAAGGATGGCAGCTTCTTTACTGTAAGTGGATTAGAATCTCATATAACTTCTCCCCGTTAAGTGCTAAAAGATATTAATGGCCTAATTAAGGCTGATGGAAAATATTAATCATATTACTCTGTGTATTAGTGAGCTCTCCTGTCCTTGGTGGACAAAATAATCTGACATCCATAACTTAAAGGAGGAAAGGTTTAATTTGGCTCATCGTTTAGGGTTTTAGTCTGTGGTTTCCTGGATCCAAGACAGAAACAGCATGAATGGCATGGCAGAGAAAATCTGCTTACTTCATGGCAGTTAGGAAGTAGAGGGAGAAGGAACAAGTTGGGGAGGGAGATAAACCCTCCAAGGGTAGGGTATACACCTTTTCCAAGAGCACATTCAGCATCCAGTTACCTTTCCAGTTACCTCATTTCAAAAAATGAGCCTTGTGGGGGACATTCTAGATTTAACCATAGCACACTATGTAGGAAGAATTTCACTATTAGAATATACTGGTCAAATGTAGTTTTGCCATTTAATAATCACTGTTCTCCTGTGTGGTATTTGTGTGTAGTTTTATGATATTTGTAAGCATAAGTAATTTTTTTTTCTTTTTTTATAGCATTATTGCTGAGACATCTACTGGCTGTTTGTTTGCTGGATCATCACTTGGTAAACGAGGTATACATAAATGAAAGGAGACCTATGATTTCCAGTGCTGCTGTAAAGTTCTTTAATTATCGGGATTGTTGTGTTATAGAGAATGGTGGGTGACAGATTTAAAAGGATATAGTTAATTAATTCTGCTTTTGAGTCAGTTAAACTTTCAAGTCTTTCTTCTAACTTTATACTTTGAAAATTTTTACACCTATAGAAAAGTTGAATGCTTACTTCAGCTAGTCATCAAACACCATGTCCTGGATTCATCAGTCTTGAACATTTGGCTATGTATTGTTTATATTTCTGAATCATTTCAGTGTAAGTTGCAGGCACTATTCCTCACTCCTCTGAGTACTGCAGCATATATGTATGTCCAAAGAATGATACCTGTCTAATCACACTACTGTTTTACACCTGAAGAATTTGTCTGTTATATGTAGTTACCCTAGGCACATTTAGACTTAACAAGCTGTCTCCAAAATAGTGTTTAGAGCCATATGGAGATTTTAGGCTGGGGTGGTAGTGGTGGTGGTGGTGGTGGTGAGTCAGTTTGGTTTTTGGTTTTGGGGATAGGATCTAGCCTGTGCTGGCCTTGAACTCATGATTCCCTTGCCTCAGCCTCCCAAGTGCTGGGGTAAAAGCCATGCTTGGCTTTTTTTTTTTTAAGCACACAGAGCATTTGATTGTCTTGGCTATTTAGTCTGTCTTTTTTTTTTTTTTTTTGGTACCATGGATCGAACTCAGGACCTTGCGTTTGTGAGGCCGACGGGGTACCACTGAGCTAAATCCCTAGCCCTAGTCTGTCTTTTAATACAGAATATTCTCTTTACTCCCCCCACCCCCCTTTCATGGTATAACTGACATTTTGAAAACTCCAGGCCATTTTCTCACAGAATTTCCCACAATTTGGTCTGCCTGATTACCTCATAGTTCAATTATTCTGATTAAACATTTTTAGTAAGAATATCATGTAGATGATTTTGTGTACATGTCCCTGCACTGCATCAAGGGACATGTAGTTTTGTCAGTTTGCCCTTTATTGGTGAGGCTGATAGCATAGGTAAGGGAGGCGTCATCTAGATGTTTGCTATAAAGGTTCCTTTTCCCTTTACATTTAAGTAGTATGGAACAATATCTTGAGACATTCTGATTATCCTGTTCCCATACAATTCACATCCAGTGGTTTTAACAGTTACTGTGATTTGGTGATTAGAAATTACTGAATATTTTTGAGAAAGAGAAACTTGTTATAAAGATTTGGCATTTCAAGAAGAAATAATTCCATGCATCAGTTACTTTTGCTGGTCAGGCAACTTCTAGTTGTTTACAGTAGCTGATTATTTGTACTTTGTACTAGCATCTTTAAAAATGCTTATGATAGCTGTGTTGTTTAATCTCTTTATTACCACTGAATATAAAAGCATATCATCTTAGTTTACTCAATGTGTAGATCTAGATAATAGTTGGGCATCAAATATAATCAACATGATAGAATAAGAACAATATCTCCAGTTGACCTCATATTAATGAATTCTGTTTAAAACACTTTTGTGTGGCTGGTAGATAGGCAATATGCTGGTATTACCTGAGTTATTTAGAAATACAAATTTTGGGACCTCTCCTAGACCTTTTTTTTTTTTTTTTTTTTTATACTGGGGATCGAACTCGGGATCTTGCACTTGCAAGGCAGGCAGCCGAATCACTGTGCTAAATCCCCTACCCAACCTATTGTTAATTTTCAGTGGCTTAGCTCAGTAATAGGGTACTTGCTTACCATGTGCAAGGGCCTGAGTTTGATCCCCAGTACTGAAAAAGAATCTCTGGTTGAGACCTGGGAATCTGTTTTAGCAAATTCTCCAGGGACTTGGAAAGAATATTGAAGTTTGAGAAGTAGCGATCTAAAGTATATATTTATTATGTATTAATTCCATACTAGGTGCAGTGAAGGATCAGTAAGGATACTGAGTCACTGCCTACAGTATCTGTAAGTCTTGAGAAGCAGAGACAATGCAATATAAAGCAGAGACTGAACAGACTCATTACAAGTAATAAAAACTTGCTCTGCAGTGGGAGGAATGAGTTCAGTTTGTCTTATAATTGGGCACCGTGATGTACCAGATGCTGTTCTAGGAATTTAGAGGCTAGCCCTACTGTTCACAATTCCTAGCTTAGTCTGATACGATATCCCTGTGGAACCCTAGGAACACAGAGGAAGAATCCTTTTTAAATCTGGCTTTTGCCATTCAGTGATTCTCCAGGTAGATGGATAAATAGAAGTTAGCCAGACAAAAAAATGAGAATAAAGGGAGATTTGTAGGGCAATTATGGAAAATAGTATGGAAGTTCCTAAATAAACTAAAAATACAATTGCCATATGACCCAGCAATCCCTCTTCCTAATCCCAGAGGAAATAAAATCACCTCATAAAGATATTTGCACTCATGTTCTCACCATTATTCATAATCAGCAAGATGTAGAAACAGCTAAGTGTCCCGTGGACAAATGGGTAAAGAAACTGTGATATGCAGACACATTCAAATATTGTTGAGCCTTAAAAAAGGAGATGTTGCCCTTTGGTACAATATGGACATAGGGAACATACTGCTAAATGAAATAAGCCAGACACAGAAAAATGTTGTTCAATCTCATTTATGTGTAGAATATAAAAAGTCAGATATACAGAGAAAGAAGATAAAAGAATGGTTATCAGGGTTGGGTTGAGGGGGGAGTGAATGGGGAGATGTAAGTCAAAGCATACAAACTAGCAGATACATAGTCAAAGGTCCAGTGTACAACATGACAAATATAGCCAATAGTTTATTATAGTCAGGATTTGTGCTGAATGAGTAGATTATAGTTATTCTTGCTAGAGAAGGGAAAATTGAGTAACTGTGTGAGATGATGGAGATCTTAATGTGTTTCACTAAAGTAACTCTTTTATTATATATGTGTTCTTAGCATTTTATTATATCTTAAAGGTACAGTTTTGTTTTGTTTTTAAAGTGAGAACCAAGGAGAAGGAGAGAGAAAGGAAAATGCTGACAAAAAAGAATATTCTGTGTTTAGGTGACTGCAAGTATACCTAGGTACAGGGTCTGGGTGGGCTGATGGAGAATGAAGAGAATAGAGATCAACAAAGGCCAGATTTCGAAAGGCTGTTGGCATGTGAAAAGAAGTTTTATGTTTCATCCTGAGAATATAAAAATTTTAAGGAGGAAAAGAGATTTTTGGAAAATTAATTCTCATACTATGTAAGAAATGTTAGCCATGCTAGAGGTAGAAGACCAAAGTCTATGACAACTCAGCCCCAAAATGGTAAGATTATGGATTAACTAATGTGACTGGGACTAGAGAAGTGAGTAGTGACTGATAGTAGTTTATTTAGAAAGGTGAATAGACAGTTTGTGACCATTGAATGTGGGAGGTCAGGGAAGAGATGTGAAGAATGACCTTCTAGGTGTCTAACAGTGCTAGATGCATTTACAACTTGTGAAAATAGGAGGTAGTTTGCCAGGGTAGATGATAATTTTAGCTATGTTGCATTGACATTGTAAAGGGTCCATTACTCTTATTACATGAAATTTGTTGAGCAGCCCTGAAAAAAATTTCTGATACTCTTATCAATATTTTTTTCTCACTTTGTGAGAAAACAACTTTTATTTTGAAGTTGTTTTGGGATAGTACATTTGATTACTTATTTTTAGACTTACAGTGGTGGAAAAGAGCAACAGACTTGCTAGGATTATTGATTTCTCCCGGCACCCTCTCTTGTTTCCTGTCAGGCACGTCAGCCAAGGGAGATGTCATTAGTGAATGCAAAGACAACTTGGGGACTTCTCTCTTAATCTAGGTTGTCTGTATATTAAGGGTCTCAGAGATCATGTCATAGCCTCCATTATCCAAGTCCTGTCTCATTTCTGATTTAAATTAATTGGGAAGGTACCAGACACTGAATACCAATGTTTAACTAAAAGTTTTTACCAGAAGCAACATTAGCTGCTTGTTATTGACAGCGTATGTGGTAGAGGCACAAAGTTATAACTAGTCATTTTTGTTTGTTTGTTTTTGGGGGTTTTTTTGGTACCAGGGATTGAACTCAGGTCCTTGAGCTTGCGAGGCAAGCAGCGGAACCACTGAGCTAAATCCCCAGCCCTAACTAGTCATGTTTTTATTGTTGTCTTAGTTACTAAAACTATTTTGAATAGAAAATTAGCCTAGAGTATCCCTAAAATCCTTCCAGCTATAGCTTTTTTTTTTTTTTTTTTTGAGCGAGGATCTCACTGTATTGTTCAGGCTGGCCTGGAACTCACTGTGTAGCTCAGGCTGGCCAGTAACTCTCAGCGATCCTTCTGCCTCAGCCTCTTGAGTGCTGGGATTACAGACCTGCGCCACCACACCCAGCTTTCCAGCTGTAACATTCTTTAACTCCATAAAAGTAGTGACATTTTGTTTAGATCTTGATGTTTTAAATTGAGACAGTATGTTATAATAGAAAACAAAACGAAAAGCAAGGAGACTTAAATTTTAGTCCTCTGTCTAAATTATCATACATACTCTGGGATTTTCTTAACTGAAAAATGAGATTGGATCGTGATTACATAGGATCTATTCCAACCTTATGTAATTGCATTATGAACACAATGTAGAGCTAGGGTTGTGGCTTGGTTGGTTGGAAGGTAGAATGTTGCCGAGTATACAAGAGGCCCTGGGTTCAATGTCTAGTACCTTGAAAAGAAAAAAAGAAAAAGAAAGTATGTATTTTGTGTTTATATTACCGAAAATCAGTGCATTGTTTGGTTATTCTTTTTTTTCCCCCTTGAAGTGGTAGGGCTTGAACCCATGGTCTCCTGTATGGTAGACAAGCACTTTCCCACCAAACTACAGCCCCACCCTTGTTTGGTTATTCTTGTCTTTCAGTTAGTTAAGTTCTTTACTATGGGAGCAAAACAATCTGCTAAGATGAATTATGCCTCTAATTAAGCAGTCCTGTTCCTTGGCTCATAGGAGGCACTTTCTTTGTTCAGTATATGTGATAATTCATATGTATTTCTGATGTCCTAAAGTTTCTTTGTGTTTTCTGTTCAATCTGGTAACTATTGTATAGTTTTTGTCCTTTTGTGTTGAAAAGTCTGCTGTGATTCTGATGGGCTTTCCTTTGTATGTGATTTGTTTCTTTTCTCTAACTGTTTGTGGAATTTGTTCTTCTGTTGGGTTTGTGGAATCTTAACTATTATATGCCTATATGTAGATTTTTTTTGATCAAGGCTAGTTGGAGTCCTATATGCCTCACTTATCTGTATGTCAAGTTCTTTTCCCCTGCTTGGGAAGTTTTCTGCCATTCCTTCTGTGAACAGTTTTTTTATGTCATCTGCACTCTCTCCTGTTTCTTCATTGACTCCCATCAGTCTTATGTTATTCTTCTTTGCATGGTGTAGCAGCTGCTGTATTACTTTCTCATGGTCCCTTACAATTTTAAAGAAATTTTTGTTTTCCTGGTCACTAATTGCAATCTTCTCTTCTATATCTGAAATTCTGTCCTCACATTGGCTCATTCTGCTGAGGAAACTTTCAGTGGAGTTTTTAGTCTCCTGGAAATCTGTTCACATCTGTTTTATGAATTCAATTTGTTTCCTGTGTTGGGATTCCATCATGTTCCTCAGCTCCTCTATTTTTTTAGTTTTTGTCCTTTTAATAAGCTAGTAGATACCCAGATCAGTAGGTATTTTAATTTCCTGCATTATGAAACATTAAAGTTATGGGAGGCTGAAGCAGAAGGATTTAAGTTCAGGTCCAGCTTGGGCAACTTGGAAACTTGGTGAGATCTTGTCTCAAAAGATAAAAAAAGAGCCAGGGGTTTAGCTCAGTGGTTCCGCCGCCTGCCTTGCAAGCGCAAGGTCCCGAATTCGATCCCCAGTACCCCCTCCCCCCCAAAAAAGATAAAAAAGGATGGGGATATAGCTCAGTGTGAAGACCTAGGTTCAATCCCCAGTACAAACAAAATAAAATGAAACAAAACAAACCCACGACATTAAAATTAAACTACTTGTTAAAGAAGCACTGAAAATATCATATTGTCAATTAGAAAAGCATTGAGATTTAGGATTTTGTTCCTTTGGGGAGACCATTTTACTAATAAGCAAAATTCTCATATTTTCTTCATCTGTTCAGTTACCACGAGCTGCTTGTAGTAATAACTGATAATAATGTAGATCCATATTATTTTATTATTTGTCATTACGTTGGGTAGGAAGTGAAATGTTTTGCCTCGACAGAAATCTTTAGTGTTCATTGGGCTCTCTGATCCAGCTTGAATATCTTTGAATATCTTGAATAACTTGAGTATAAGAAATGGTTGGAACCGAGAGTTTTGATTTTTTTTTTTTTTGGTACCAGGGATCGAACTCCCAACCTTATGCTTGCGAGCTTGCAAGTCATGCACTGTGCCACTGAGCTAAATCCCCAGCCTTGATTTTTAAATTTATTTAGATTTTAGAATATTTCCGTATACATAGTGAGATGTCTTACAGGTGAGCCTAAGTCCAAACATGACAGTAACTTGTTTCATACAGATCTCATACACATAACCTAAAGATAATTTTATACAATATTTTAAATAATTTTGTGGGTGAAACAGGTTCATGGTATGAAGTTTCCACTTTTGGTGTTATATTGGTCTTCAAAAAGTTTGAAATTTTGGAGCATTTTGGATTTCAGATTTTCAGGTTAAGGATGGTTAACCTGCATTATAAAGCCAGGACTTTTCTTTCACATCCTTCACCCCAATTTTAGCCATCTTTCAAGGACCTGCTTAAGTCCTTCATGCTCTATGAAATCTTCTGTAATTATTCTAGCACCTATAGCCTCTTTTCCTTCTCTAAGCTCCTGTTGTACATATGATTTATACCTTAGAGATTAGCACTTAACTATCCTGTAATTCTCTCATACTTGACCAATATGTTTCCCTGAAAATATGACTTAACTGGATCAACCTATGGTTGTCACCATGGTGATGGCCAGTGTCATGCAGAAGGTTATACATACCTCACTGTTCTCTCTTGGTTGCTCCTCTGTAATGGCAGGTAAAGGAGGGATAGACTGATTGAGGTGGCTTTTTTTCCCAGTTAGATCTTATTTTCAGGGAAACATGGGTATCTTTTGTTTTCTTAGCAAAGGAATGAGTAGTATTGAGTAGTCAATATTACCATTATTGTTAATAGCTTATTATCTTGGGAATGGATGCTTTATAAATACTGTCTCTATTTCTATAACAACTTTGCAGTACAGTTATTATCATCTCCTTCTAAAAGAGGAAATGGAAGAGGCTAAGTAGCTTATTTAAGAATGGTAGGGGCTGAGGGTGCAGCTCATGTAGCTCTGGTAGAACACATGCAGCTCAGTAGTAGAATATACATGTGCTTAGTATATGCATGGCAGTAACGTCTATCCCCAGCAAAAGAAAGAGAGAGATTTAAGTAGTACAACATATTTCAGACTGTTTCAGTCATACATATATTTGACCAGTTGGTAATGAAAGAACTTTATCATCGTATCTGCTCTAAAAATAGAGTTAAATAAATTTGCAAATATAAAATACTCATAGAAACAAGATTAGCCACATTTTTAATTTTTAGAAGACATTTTCATTTGTAGCAAAGAATAACCTTAGAGTAATTTGGAGAATTACTTCTGTTAGGCTTATTTTAGTTATGTTTCCCAATTTGTAGATTATGTAATGTTGAATTTAGAGTTAATTTTGTAACAGTTGCTTTGAGTTGCTTATATTATGTCCAAGCAACTACCTTTGGGAATGTCTTCCCCCCACCCCGGTACTGGGAATCGAACTCAGGACCTTGCACTTGCGCGGCAGGTGCTGCGCCACTGAGCTAAATCCCTGGCCCCTGATAGGTTTTTTTATATTCAATGTTGTACCAAAGATTTGGGGCACGTGTGAAGAGGTAGGAAGTAGAGGAAGGCATAAATATTCTGATGCACATCTTAACATCTGTTCAAGTCTTATAGGGACTAGAACCTTAAAATAGTTGACCTGAGAATGTTATTAGCTTTTCTTTAGATGAAACTTAATTCTCTGACTTTTAAAAATCCTTTAATTCTGATGCCTGTAGACTAATTATAACTTGTATAATCCTGAGTTTTAAAATTTGAAATTGAGGCATACCATTATAGGGTCATAACTTAGTTTTAAACTGGCTTTATAATTAGTACTTTTTAAATAGGCCAAAGCAGCCTATTTCTTTTTTTTACTAGTGTACTTAAAGATAGGAAGTATTTGTATATGCCAAGCCATCAGCTATTTAGCAAGATTAAATATCTAAAGATCTTATCCTAAAAGATACATCTTGTGAGTTCAGAGACCTAAAAAAATATTATACCAGTGCTAACTGGGATTTTTCAATTAAACCTTTTGCCTCTCAGTAATTAATTTAGGTTTTTCTTTCTTTTTTTCATTGTGCTTATCTTAGGTGTTAATGCAGACAAGGTTGGAATTGAAGCTGCTGAAATGCTATTAGCAAATCTTAGACATGGTGGTACTGTGGATGAGTATCTGCAAGACCAGGTAATGACACTTTCAGGATAAAACCTTCCAGCCTGTATTAGATTGAGTATAAATTTAATTACAGTAAGTCCTAGACTTATGAATGAGTTTCATTCCAGGAGAATTGTTCGTAAGTCAGATTCGTTTGTAAGCAGACAAAGTGAATCTTGTACACTACACCTGTGCAACTTCTCAAATGTTTGTACATCGGGGACTTACTGTATTGGCCTTCAGACACTGATAAGCAAATCCTACTTAAATCATTTTTAAAGTATCCCCTTGGAATTTGTATTCCTCACTTTTCTATGTGCATCTTACTTGACCTATTCATAGCATTTGGCACAGTTACTTTATTCTTGAAATTCTGGCTTCACTTGGTCTGAAATAATGTTGTCTTTCCACTTAATGAGCCTCCTTTGTCTTGGTCTCCTTTGCTAGATTATTGTCTCCTCACGTTTCCTGATGCCTGTTTCCTTTATCTGTTCACTCCCTTATTTTGTCCAGTGTCCTGGCTTAAATACCCTCTGTATGCTGACAACTCCTAAATTTGTATCCGTGCTCAGAACTTTCTTCTTCATTCCTTATTCATTATATCCCTGTGCCTGTCAACATCTCCACTTGCATATCCTGTCTACTCCTCACATTGAGAAGTACTATTGAATGTTTCTAAATAAGACCTTTTTGTTCATTGTCTTTATATGTTTTCCTCTCTACCATAACTTTTCTCTCCTTATTCTCAAATCAGCAGTCTACATTAAGAAATGTATTCTTTGATTTAGGGGTGCAGCTCCGTGGAAGAGTTCTTTCTTGCCTAAGATGCACACGGCCTGGGTTTGTTTGCAGCAGGAAATTTATTCCTCAAGATTTATCATTTTCTTATAACATCTTCCTTATATCTAGTTATTTCCTTCTTGCCCAAATTACTCTGTATCCCAGTAATTCTGTATTAGTCTGTTTATTCTCATTAAAACATAATTTTAATGAGAAACTTGTCATATTTTATATACCAGCTTGTAGAGATAGTTGCTGTTAACTATATATCAGCTTTCAATTTCATATTTTATTCTTAAACATTAATTTTAAAACTTTGATATTGAGGTGGGTGTGTTGACATAGGCATGTAATCCCAGCACTCTGGAAGGCAAGAGGATTGCAAATTCAAATCCCCTAGGCAACTTAGGGATTTAGTGAGAACTTGTCTTAAAAAGGGCTGGGGAAGGACTCAGTGCAAAGGCCCTAGGTTGAATCCTCAGTAATCTGCTCCTTTCTCCCCCAATTCTGTATTGAGAGCCAATGCTAAGCATTTCTATTCCACATTGCTGGTTTTGGTAACAGATTTTCTATCATCTTCTAAGAACTTTTGGAAACCTAAAGAAATAGAAATTCTTTTTTTAGCTGTTTTGATTTCTAGTATTTTCGTTATGGACAACAGTAGAATTATAGTCTAAATATTAGTAAATGTGTAAGAATTTTCTTCTTTGTTCTATTTTCAATAGCTGATTGTTTTCATGGCATTAGCCAATGGAGTTTCCAGAATAAAAACAGGACCAGTTACACTCCATACACAAACAGCTATACATTTTGCTGAGCAACTAGCAAAGGTGAGTATTCCATTAGAAGGAGTAAATGGGTCATATTTTCATAACCAGGAAATTCAGTAATGATTGTAACTGCTGTCACAGTACGTGCTTGTGGCACACATGTGGCTAACAGCAGTTAATTGGAAGCATCTTATTCTGCATAAGCATTGTAGATGGCTGCTACTATTCCTATTTTACATGTAAGTAAATTAAGGCAATTAAATTGTTTGAGCCCATATTTCTAGTGGCAGAGCTGGGCTTTGAGCAAACCCAGGAAAGCATATTTCAAGGCCCATGTTAAAATCCCTGTGGTACTGAAGAGATAGAAATGGTGATGTCACGAAGGATTCATTGTTGGCTATAAACCTAAATATTTATGAAGAATTTAAAAGTTTTTTCTTCTGATTCTGTTGTTAGAATATTTACTAATCCTCTTAAATTTGGAAGAGTAGATTTACAATTTTAACATAAAATTGTAATTGTATCCGCTGCCTGTCTCACAAGCATGAGGTCCCAAGTTCGATCACCGGTACCAAAAAAGAAAAAAAATTGTAATTGTATTTTTTCAGTGAGATTCTTAATTTTAAAAAAAAGAATATTAGTGTCATCATGAAACAAATACTAATTTCTTTATAGAAAATACACAGAATTTTCCCTTACCAGTAAAACCACTGTTACATTTAAGTATTTTCTACTTAAATTATCTCCGTTTTAAACAATATGTATAGCTCCATTTCTTGCCTTTTTCTGTAACATGTAGCATATTTTTGTTTTGGTATATTCTTTATAATATACTGTTATAAAATAATACAAAATTTGTGACTCAATTTTAGGTAGGAAGGTGTTGAAACATTTAAAACAATTTACCGGTACTATACACTAGTAAAAAAAGGGAGTGAAGCTTTACAGATGTGTACTAAGCCCAAAACCATTGCTTTACTCTTCTTTTTGGTGTGATTGTTAATAGTAAGAATATTTGTTGCCATAAAGAATAGGTAGGTTTTGGCTAAACTGTAGGAAAAGGCTGATGAATTGAAGGCCAATCATGTCTGATGATGAGAAAGTTAACAATTTTAAAATTCTACTTATCCTGTATTTATAACAACTACTTGTCTGTCTCCTCAGTAGCAAGGAGCAAGTTTTATTCATTATGATCTTCACTTTTTACAGAACTTTGCATATATTGAGGTAGACACTTTCATGTTATTTGAAGTGAATATGTAATAGAAAGCGCTGCGATCTGGGGAATTTGTAGTTTTCACTTTGCTTTGTTCAGCTTTGTTGTGAAGTTTATCTTTTTGTGCCTCAATGCAGATAGTTCATTTGTAAAATCACACTTGAGCTAGTCAGTTTCTTAAGGCTCCTAGAAAGTAGATTTAAATGTAGGCTGGAAATGATTCAGAATGTTTTTGTAATTTGCATGCTTTTTTTTTTTTTTTTTTTAGTACCAGGGATCAAACTCAGGTCCTTGTGCTTGCAAGGCAGGCAGCAGAACCACTGAGCTAAATCCCCAGCTGTTTTTGTAATTTGGGGGAAAAACATGAACACACGTTATAACTACATAAAAAATTGGTTATCTACCTCAGTATTCAATGTTTGTTTATTCCATAGTAATTTCAGATGTCCACTGTGTGTCAGTATGCTGTCATATAATACTAAAACTAAAAGAATTTGTGAATATTACTGTCCAGTATGGCCCCAAAGATTGTTTTTAAATTCAAAGAATTGTAATATTTTAGTCATACTTGAAATGTTTTTGCCACAACAGCCTATGTAATTGTTTTGATTTTAATTCAGTTTTATTAAATGTTTCAAAGCCAGGCATGGTGATGCATGCCTGTAATACCAACACTTGGGAGGCAGAGGCAGGAGGATTCCTGTGAGTTCAAGACCATTCTGAGCTACATAGTGTGTTCAAGGTCACCCTGAACCACAAAGGGAGACCCTGTGTCAAAAAAAAAAAAAAAAGATGTTAGTCACACTATCATACCATCTTCCTCCCATTTCTGAACTAGGTCTATTTGAATAATGTACTTAGGGAATTAAATTGGCAAGAAAAAAATTAGTGATATTTAATGATAATTTATACTTGCCAATAAAAAAGTTAAATGTTTCAGTTCCACATTTGGGTGAAATTTTAGGGCACAAAGAGAAGTGTCTTATAACCAACAAGTTCAGATTTCAAAATTGAACGTGGCTTGACTGCTGTCCTGGGGCTTATGATTCAGGAGGTATGGAGTGGGACCTAGGCATATTTATTGTGACAGAACTCCACAAGAATGAATATCTCTGGACAAGAACTATGATTCTGGAACTAAATGTTATCTCTAGGCTGTTGAATTTTCCATGAATCATTTGATTTTTTTGTCTCTAGCTTCTTCAACAAATGTGTTTGGTACTGTCTCTCTGCCTACTTAAGTAGGAGTTAAGGGCTTTTCCCTCTATCCTCTTTATATTACTTATATACTAAATATTTTTCTGGTTTCAGGCTAAATTTACTGTGAAGAAATCAGAAGATGAAGAAGATGCCTCTAAAGACACTTACATTATTGAGTGCCAAGGAATTGGGATGACAAATCCAAATATATAGGGTATTTACCTATTAAATGATACCTCAGTGATGTATTGCACTAATTTATTTCATATGTAGTATAACACAATGAATACAAAGTAACTTATTAAAGACCTGAGTAAATTTGAAGGTAAATTACGATGTTCTAGATTTGCTAAGCATGTTGCATCAAATTAATCTTACTTTAAATATCTTCTGGAATACAGATGATAAAAGTTGATGGATATGTATGATAGCTGATTTCAATATTAAAGTATTGAGGGCTGGGGATTTGGCTCAGTGGTTCTGCTGCCTGCCTCACAAGTGGAAGGTCCCGAGTTCGATCTTCGGTACCAAAAAAACCCACTAAAATATTGAATAAAATATTCTTTTTATTTGAAGTAAATGGTTGTTTTCTTTTTTTATGAATAAATTAAGTCATATGTATAGATTTGATCTATAATTTGGTATAGCAATTTCCTTATCCACTGTTTGGCTTTCTGAGGTTTCATTTATCTGGAATCAACTGTGGTCTGAAAATATTCAATGGAAAATTCCAGATATAAGTAATTCATAAGTTTTAAATGGCACTCCATTCTGAGCAGCTTGATGACATCTCTCACCTTGCATTTTGTCTCATTTGGAATGTGAGTCATCTTTTTCCAGTGTCATCTGTATACAGTATCCATTAATGTCTTAGTAGTTGTCTTGGTTATCAGATCAGTTGTTGTAGGACAGCAGTGCTTGTGTTCAAATAACTCATATTTTACTTAATGGCCCCAAGTGTGCATATGTAATGGTGCTGGCAACTCAGATATGTCAAGGAAGCTGTAAAGAGCTTCCTTAAGTATCATCTCACATCATTACAAGAAGGGTGAGTACACTACAGTAAGATACTTAGACTATATTTCACATATTATGTAGTTGCACACTGCATAACAATAGGGATACATTTTAGAAAATGTATCATTGGGCTCTTTCATTATTTAACAAGTATCGTGGAGTATCCTTCACAAATGTAGATAGTATGAGCTAATCATTTGCCAGCCTCTTGATGTAATAAAGAGAGCACAAACACGAGGTGTATGAGACTCCTGCTAGCATAACACAGTGTACTGCTTTGCAGTAAACTTTGTCTTTTATAAGTAGGAGAATACTCTAATGAAAAAAGTATACTGTAATAAATATATAAACCAGTACACAGGGTTTTTTTATTAATTTTTTTTTTTTTTTTGCAGAACCGGGGATCGAACTCAGGACCTTGTGCTTGTGAGCTAAATCCCCAGCCTGTACACAGTTGTTTTTTATTCTTACTATTATCGAGTTTTGGCTTTTTATTTTGTTTTGTTTACAATTCTAGGGATTGAACCCAGGGCCTTGAACATGCTAGGCAAGTGCTTTACCACCGAACTCTGTCCCCAGCTCCATTTTCAAGTATTATGTGCTGTACATAGCTGTGTGTTCTGTTATTATATGACTGGCGCAGGATAGTATGTTTGCACTAGTATCAGCTCAGATGTGAGCACTGTATAATGCTTTGATGTTATGATGGACACAGTGTCACTAGGCAATAGGAATTTTTCAGATCTGTTATAATCTTATGGGGCTACTGTTGTGTATACAGTCTTTCAATGATAAAGACATCTGGTGCATAATTGCATTGTTAAATTGTTCTAATTTAATATCATTGCTAACTTTATCAGAGGTGTATATGCATAGGAAAAAATGTACATATAGAGTTTGGTACTATCTGCAGTTTCAGGCATCCACTGGGAGTCATGTAACATAGTCCCTGTGGATAAGGGGGGACTATTGTGTAGTTATAATCTCTGGTGAAACTGCATGTAAAGTATGAGACAACTTTACACAAAATATACTTGATTGTATCAGTAATAACACATAATAGGCGATGTTTTATTCTATGTACTTTGCACCTAATGGACACTTAGTAAATACTGAATTTCAATCTATTGAATATATTTTGAAAGCTGACAATTAGAGTTGCAAAATTTTAACCCTAGTAGGTTTGGTCAAATTTGGCTCCAGATATGTTGCTTGCCTTGTAGCATTAAAAAGTAATTGCCTTTATGACTGTGTTTTCATTACTCTGTTATTTACAACTAGCCTGCTGCCACATTTAGGTTACTTTCTGGTCACCTGTAGGTGACTCAAATGAAACCAGTTTGATATATCAGTATACTGTACTGTAATATGGGAGGAACTCTAAAATTCCGGTCTGTTTTGGCCTTTATCTGGTGATAATTAAAACATAATCTAAGATTAAATCCAGAGGGTGGTATTATAACATTCAGAAAGTTCTGAATTCGTATAGAATACTATAATGAAAAAAATTAATCCATGTACATAGACACTATTTTTTATTAACGATTTTTTATGGCCTTGTAAAGTTTAATTTACTTTAAATACAGTGATGGAATATTGCTTGTTATTTAGATTTTTACAAAATGGTAAGTTTTATAAATTGTTGACTTTTTTTAAAAGATAGCTTTGTATTTTTAGCACAAAAATCTTTTAGAGTAAAACTACACTTTTAATGTAGTTGTTGGAGGGGTTGTGATAAATTCGAGGGTCTCCTTGAGCTGTGGTCCCTGCTGTTTCTGATATATTGTGCTGGCAGTGTTCAAGCGGTGGCTGGAGTGCAGAGACTGGGGAGTTGAGAGTAAGAGATTGAAGTTCAGCTATTGTATGTGGTGAATTCATGAATAAGCTTGGCCGTTACTGTTCCTGGATCTCAGTTTAGGTAAATCAAAGACAGATAACTTGCAAGGACAATTTTATAAGTCCTACAAAGTGTCTTGAATTTCTATTTTTAAAAGCAGTTCAATTTCTATTTTCCATTTATGTACAAAATTCTATTTCAGCATGCTTGTTTATTCTAGACCAAGAAATGCAAATAATACTGTTGATTTGACATTCTGTACAACAGAGTAAAATATTTGTTAAACAAGTGCCTCACAGAGTACCATGACAAGTTTCCCAAAGCCTTGCTGTGTGTTTCAGTTTCCAGGCATTGGTAGTCTTAATTTAGGCAACTGATTTTTAAATTTCTCTGCTTAAATATGTACTTTCTGCTCAAATTGAGTCCCCTAAAGTCAAGGTAGGGCTGTATAGGTCCCAGGTTTTAGCTCCTCTTTTACAATTGCTCTTTTCCTCTCTGCAGAAGAAAAGTTTATTTTTCACCTGTTCTAATCTTGTTCTGGTACATTTCCCATAGTACAGGAAAATTTCTAAAACACTATTAAATAAAGGAACAGTTTGATACAGTCTCTGAAAGCCTATTCAGTGATTCGAGCTTCCATCTTATTTTTATATTTTGCATGATTTTAAATAAGAGAAAGCTTCAGTGTTAACTATCAACAGTCAACATCGCATCTTTAAATAAAACTTTTTCCTGATTATTAGAAGAAACATTTTCATTAACTTTGCCAAAAAGCTAGTAGAATGTTTAAGTCCTTTATTTTAACTTTGAAAATTTACTGCTTATTAATATGAATTTTTAATTCTTTGCTTTTTATTTATCCCTACCATGTGGAGTAAGTTATAGATTCTAAAATCTGTATTGTTAATATCATGTAAATAATGCACACAAATAATGTTTATTATTAGGTCTCATACTTAATAACCTTTTCGCTGTTGATTTCCTTTGAACTGTTTGTCATTCCAGCAGTTAACAGTTTTTATCCCATGATATATCATGTAATTTTCAAAAAGACATTTCATTGACACATTACCAATAAACTTTTACATTTCTTTCAATTCAGTGGATATTTACTGAGCACCTGCTATGTGTTGGCCATTCTCCCAAATGGTTAAGATACATTGGTAAACAAAACACATAAATTCCTTCCTTCCTGGTGCTCTCATTCTCATGAGGGAGACAGAAAATAAATATAATAAATGAGAAAATTGAGATGATTTGCTTTCATGCAAAAAAATTTACTTTTTACATTTAATGTTTCAAAAATACAAAATTTAAGAAATTGAGTCAGAATTATTTTCTCTTGAGAATTCTGTTCTCTGAAAATTTTAAAATGATGCAAATATACTTTTTTTATGGTAAGGAAATATGACAAATTGAACTGTTAAGATTAAAAATAAGATAGAATTATGGGAGATGTGAAATGTATTTTTTTAATTTTAGAAAATTAGTATCAAACAGTTTTAGATTCCATTGTTTAGTATTTAGATTCCAGTGGATAAATTTGAGAGTGGTGGAATCATTTTATTTAAAAATGGAAATAAAACATTAAAATCCAGTCTTTTACTATAACTTGATATTTATGATAAAAAAAAATTTAAGTCAACTTAAAAGTATAAAGATAGTAGTGTTTTAACACTCTTTTCAGGAAAATTTTTGTGACCAAAATGTTTGAAGTCAACTGCATTGAATTTTGGCCAAAAAAGTAAAGCTATTCAGTGTTCTGTCTTTCTATATTTAGTATAGTACTGTCCACTAGATCCTCTATAGGGTTGGGAGTGTACTCTACCTTCACTGTGGAATAAGAAACACACTATCCATGTAGTTGTAAAGACTTGAAAAGTGTCCATGTAACTGAGGAAAAGAATACTGTATTATCCAAAATTGTTATACAGATTTAATACAATCCCAATCAAAATTCCAACAGCATATCACAGAATTAGAGAAAACAACCCTAAAAATTCATTTGGAACCAGAAGAGACCTAAAATAGCAAAGGCAGTTTTAGGAAACAAAGGCAGGGCAGAGGGCATCACAATCCCTGGCTTGAAATTATACTACAAAGCTACAGTGATAAAAACAGCATGGTACTGGCAAAAAAAAAAAAGACCTGAGAATCAATGGAACAGATTAGAAGATGCAGAAACAACTTGAGAAATACTCAGCCACCTTACCTTTGACAAAGGAGCCAAACAGCTTCACTGGAAGAAAGCCTTTTTAATGGTGCTGGAAAAACTGGCTTTCCACTTGCCAAAGATTAAATCTGGACCCATATCTTTCACCATGCACTAAACTAAAATCGAAATGGATCAAATGTCTAAGTATAAAACACTTAACATGCTTGAAGATAGGCTAGAACCCTTGGAGACATTAGTGTAGGTAAAGACTGATCAAAACCCCAGTTGCACAGGAAACTATCACAAAGAATCAACAACTGTTTCTCATCTTATTCAAAGCTATTGCCTAGCAAGAGAAACCACCACCAGAGTGACAACCCACAGTCTGGGGAAAATTTTTTGCCAACTGTTCTTCAGACAAAGGACTACTATCTAGAATATATATATAAAGAACTCAAAAACTCAGACCCTTCCAGATTTAAAGACCCAGTCCAAAAATGGGCATCTGAAATGAATACTTCTCATATGAAGAAGTAGAAATAGCAAAAAAAGAAAAAATGTTCAACATCACTGGTCATTTGAGAGATGCAAATTAAAACAATGCTGAGATTCCACATCCCTCCGGAAAGAGTGGCTGTTATCAAGGAATCAACCAATAACAAATGGTAGCAGGGCTGTGGGGGAAGAGGAAACCTCCACTGTTGATGGGAGTGCAGACTGGTGTAACCACTGTGGAAATCAGTGTGGAGATTCCTCAAAGAACTAAAACTAGAGGTTTCATTTGACCCAACTATTCTTGGTATCTTCCCAAAAGAACTAAAAGCATCATACCACAGTGATATATGCACATGCATATTTACAGTGGCATATTTTGTAATAGCGAAATCTTGGAAACAGCCCAAATGGCAATCAACTGATGAATGGATAAAAAGGATTTTTTTTAATGTAGTGGAGTACTACTCTGCCATGAAGAAGGATGGCCTTCAGACATTTATACCTAAATGGATGGACCTTGAGGCCATACTCTTAAGTGAAATAAATTGAGCACACATGTTTAAATACTGCATTATTTCTCTGGTGTGAGGAACTAAAAGTGGAAATAAGGACTAAAATGTATAATACTGGGAAATGGAAAGAAAATGTTCAAATAAGGGGAACAAGGGAGGGGGAAGGGGAAAAGGAAAGAAGGGAAAGAAGAAAAAATGGAAAGAGGTTTGTATATAAGGAGGGGAAGAGGGGAATCAAAGGGAAGAGGGCAGGAATGAGAAAATAGTAAGATGTATCATGTACAGGTAGAAATTCGCTATGATGAATGTTACCATTATGTATATCTAAAATGCATCAATGTTTAAAAAATATTATTTAGGGTTAATTTAAATTTAAATAGCCACATGTGGCCATTGGCTACCACATTGGACCATGCAGGTACAGAAACTATTACAGATTTTTACCTTGATATTATTTTTGAATTTTATATCCTCATAAGTACTGAGGAGTATTTTAGAAAAATCTTTTGAAGCTGTTTGGGGGCTGGTCTCATGCTGCACAGAGAAAGTGGGATGGCAGTGAACATTTCCAGTATCTCTGCATACTTACTACATCTTGGGCCGGGGATTTAGCTCAGTGGTTCCAGCACCTGCCTTGCAAGCGCAAGGTCCCAAATTCAATCCCTGGTACCAAAAAAAAAATCAAAATACTTACTAGATCTTTAAAGGAAGAAGAATCATTAATCTGATTGAGAATCAGATTGCCATCTTGGGACAGCTGTTCCACCCCCCACCTCCACCCCCTCCCCGCTGCTGCACTTTCCTCTGTCCTTGCTTTCTTGTGAAAGGACCTACCAGTGGAGTTTTTCAGACATAACTGTGAGCCTTCAGGCACGAGTTTGCTCAGTATCTGCCATGGAAATCCTTCCTCACTGGCAGGTGTTAAGCCTGAATTTAAGGGGCCAGAAAAGGTGGCTTCACTTTGACTTCAGGTCTCAGATCTTTCTTGCTCCCCAATTCAGCTTTGCCACAGAATCTCTGCTTTGGGCCAGGGATTTAGCTCAGTGATTCTTCCGCCTGCCCCACAAGCACAAGGACCCAAGTTCAATTCCCAGTACCAAAAATTAAAAAATAAAAAGGGCCAGGAGTTTGGCTTTAGTCGCTGACTGCCTTGCAAGCACGGGGTCCTGAGTTTGATCCTCGGTACCAAAAAAAGAAGAACCTCTGCTTCGGAAGTTACTGGGCCTCCTGATTATCTCTTTATTCTTTATTAATTAAAACTTGGAAGAGAGGAGGGGACCTTTCTTGCTAATGTAAAATACACTTTTTTTAAAGAGAAATATCAGTTTTGGTGATTATTAATCACACTTCTTTACTATGGTGGTAGTGATGGCAGTGATTGAGGTGGTTGCTCATTTCTTTTGGTTTGTTCTTTGAACCAGAAAATTAATGTGACATTTAGTTTTTGCCTGGTTATAGAGTGCTGTTCCAGTAGCTTTTAAATAGAGCTGATCGATAGGTATGCATGTGTTTCTTCAGCCATCATTCCTCTGGGCAGGCAGGCATTTCCTAAAGGAGTATGGGTAATAAGTCACATTCCCATTGCGAGACAAAATACTCAACACCCACAATTTAGAGGAGAGGTTTATTTTAGGTCATAGTTTCAGTCCATGGTCGGCTTGCTCCGAAGCAGAAACATAATGGCAGAGTGGCATGATGGGAAAATGTGTTTAACTCATGGCAACCAGAAGCAGAGAGAAAACAAGAGCCACAGACAGAATACACCCTTCCTGCTTACACCCCCAATGACCCACCTCCAACCAAACCTCACTTCCTAACATCACATTCAGCCATGAACTCATCAATGGATGAATCCACTGATTAATACGATGCCCCCATGATCCAGTCACCTTCCACGAAACTTTTCAGGGGCATTTTAGATCTAAACCATACAGTGGGGGTTGGAGGGAAAACACTCCAAAGTTAAAAGAAAATCCAAGTCAAGCCAGATTAAAACAAATATTGGAGCAGTAATGAAGAGTCTTTGTAGATATTAACAGGGTAGGGGAGTGCGGTGACAGACACCCCATTACCTGTGGGGATTTTCAAATCACTGTGTTTTAGCAATAAGTGCCACCTCTTTCCTATTCTGACTGTAACAGCTACTGTCTGTGGCCATAACTGGGCAGCAATGTGGTATCCTTTATTCAATATATCCAAAGTCGCAGTGTATCACAACTGTGCATGATGTCACTGGGAATACAGCCTCCTGGACCATCAAGTAAAACTGCAGTGACTTAAAGCCATTGTTGCCAAAATAGATGCAAAGCACATACATTGTCCTGTAAGAGTTTAGAGAAATCGTGAGTTCAAGAAGTAGAACCCCTGAGGCAGTCATCTCCAATACATAAATGGACCCATCTTACCAAATCATTCATGGGGCTTATTTTGAGTTTCCTTCTTTGTTTCAGTGGTCCCCAAAGCCAATCATAGCCACAATATTGATCTTTGTATTTTCCCTGGTTAGAGTATGATGCATGTTCTTATATCTGTGAGGATTTAGTCAGAAAAGCTAGAAATTTTGGTATTGCAGACAAAGGTGATCTTATACAGGAAACTACTTACTAGTTGTTGAAAAGCTGAAAGGGGAAGAGGGGACACTGAGAAAACCGGAAATTAGGACTAAGGAAATAAAAGGCAAGAGTGTTATTACCAGAACCTAGGAGTCTGAAGGAGGGGCTCTTTGGGGCTAACAATCAGATCTGTCAGGAAGGAGACAAGACTTTTCAGTTGGTAATTAGACCTCACAGCCTTATAGCTGGAAGCCAGACTACTAAGGCCAATGCAGCCTGGCAGGTGCCTCCATGGTTCAGGTGGCTTGGCCTGCAGGGGAGGGAGCACAGTGGGAGCACAGTAGTCCTGCTGCCAAGGGGCACAAGAAACATGGCAGGGCCTG